GGGGGGGGACATTAACATCTGGAGCTCTTACGCACAGTAGAACTGTAATTAATTGTTATTGGGCTGATTCTACAATGTCATGCTCATAACTGTGCCTGAACTGCAATAGAGAACTGCTGCTTTTTCTTTCCTAATCCTTAATATCGTCATTTTTCCTCTACTTCTTTTGTATGTTTGTCACACTCTTGATACCCGCTATTTCCGGGGTGCATTGATAGTCGAAGCAGACTTTGTGCTGTTAAAGCTAGAGAAGTGAGCAGAGTAAGTCAGATTAGCTGTAAGGACTTCTCTGTTGACATCCACCCTTTGGCGCTCATATGACCTTATGCAGTTGCTAGCGCCGTAAAACCAGTACTAAAACAAACACTTCTCTCTTCAAAAAAGGAAAACCAAGGAAGCTCTGATGATGTATTATGGGACGAGCCACGACCGATAAGAACGCCAAATGTTGATGTTGTTTTAATTATTAACACATGTAATAATACAACTATTTTGTTTCTTTAAAAACCATCGGTCGCCCTTACTCCAAGTGTAAACAGTGTTTATGAGAGCGTGGGAGAGGTTCATAACAATTATTGTGAGGGTGCAGGTGTGTGCGTATGTGCGTGTGTATATGTGTGTGGGGGGAGGGGGGGGGAGGGGGGCACAAAAGAGAAAAGAGAATAAGCATAATAAATAATTATATTATCGTTTTTACCCCGCGGATTTTCCCATATCGCTGACGTTTATGAAACATAATCCCCGTGTTATTCGCGGGAATGCTGTCCTGCAAACCTAACTCAAACCAAGGGCTATAAATAGACTGCTTCACACGAACAGGTGGCGCAACTGACCCCGCAAGAGGGGGTGAGATTTTTACTCATTTTTTCTGCGTTACTGTCTTCTGTCTAGCTTTGTGTCGTGCTGATCTGTTTTCTGTGAGTCTTGTCTGTCATTTCTCTAAATCAGACACTCTTGTTTGTTTGTTTGTTTTTGTATTTGTTTGTTTGTGTGTTTGTGTGGGTTGTTGGCAGGTGCTCAGGTGTGGTTTGCTCCTTCTTCCCTATCAAAACAACTATCGTCTTTATTCCCTCCTTCTTATTTGTGCTTGTTACTCTCTTGTAACACCTCTAATCTTCGGAACTTATATGACCTTATTGTGTTGCAAGTGCCGTAAAACTCTTACTATAACCAAAACTCTCTCTCTCTCTCTCTCTCTCTCTCTCTCTCTCTCTCTCTCTCTCTCTCTCTCTCTCTCTCTCTCTCTCTCCCGATCTCTTACTTTTGAAGCATTTTGGCATATGATTATAATCCACCATTTTCAATAATTACTAGTAAGCAATACTTAATCTGGATCTCTGCTGATCTCCCCCTCCCCCTCCCTCTCACCCTCCCGTTTCCCTCACCCCCCCCCCCCCCCCACACCGGGGAAAAGGAACACGGGTGGGGTTTTATATGGAAGCTACCCCGCTGTGGGAACAAGGACAACGTAGGTCTAGGGCTGGGGGCCAGGCGGAAGCGATACGCGCTGCAGGGTGAGTTGGGAACACACAATGACGTTATACAGTCATCATTATCATCATCCAGTGCCAGATCTGCGACAGACATCGGCGATCATGGTTTTCCATTCATTCCTTTGCTCGGATGCTCTCAAAAAAGCTACATTTCCCTGATCTTTCCCTGTTACCCATTTGTTCAGGTTCCCAGTGAGAGCTAAATGTTCAAGACCCTTATGTCTATTCAGATTATGGTTGTACAGTAAGGATGTTGTATTGTAAGACCACAACAGAGAAAACTATCAAGGACACTGCAAAAGATCATCACCATTAACACAACTTCAGTCAGTTGTCTACTTATGTTATTGCCTTAAACTTTGGTGTCACTTCTCGATTGCTTTTTTCCCCCATTAATTGTTTTGAGATTACTGTAGTGTTCATCCTCTGTTTGACGCAGGGAGCAAATGGGCCAAACGAGATCTGACCTTCAAAATTTCGGAATACCCCAGAGGTATGTCACGTGACAGAGTGGAGAAAGAAGTTCACAACGCCCTCAAGGTCAGTACTGATTGTTTGCCTTCACTTAAATATGTAATGTCATTTGTTTATGACATATGCATAATATTATGTGTTTTAAATAGATAGATGGATATAGATAGATGGTCTTAACTGATCAAAAACGAATTATGCTAGCCTCTTAAATAGTCTTGACTTTGGACAGATCTACGTTTAATTCTACAACTTCATTTACAGTTACCATTACATGACAAATACAAATACAACAATGTTTACAATGACAACTACAACGACAACAACTGAAACTATAACCACAACTATAACTACAACTAAAACTAAAACTATAATAATATTTTTAATCACAACTTCAACTACAACAACTATAACCACACGACAACAACTGTAGCTCCAACTACGTTTACAGTTACAACTACAACGACAACAACAACTAAAACCATAATCACAACTATGACTATAACTAAAACTGAAAGTATATTTACATAAATTATGATCACAACTTCAACTACAACAACTAATACCGGGTGCCCACTACAGATGGGATCTGCCGATCACCCGACTCGGTCACCTCAAAAACAAACGTGTTTGTTGTCAGTTTCAGGCGATCGAGTCGGGCGATCGGCCCGATTCAGCCGTAGTGGGCACCCCGTATAAAACCAAGCGACAATAACAACAGCTACAACTTCAACTAAAACCACACGAAAACAACAACTGCAGCTACAAGTACAACTTTCGTAAATACTTCCACAGGTGTGGGGGGACGTGACGCCCTTGAACTTCATCCTCCGCCCCTATGACGACAGAGTGGACATTGACGTCAGGTTTGCACGCCGTAACCATGGAGACGGGAACCCTTTCGATGGGCGTGGCCAGACGTTGGCCCACGCGTTTTTCCCCCAGTACGGGGGAGACGCCCACTTTGATGACGACGAAAACTGGACGATTAACCTATCCTCAGGTATGCAAATGATGGGGTCAAGTGAAAAACAGGATACGTCTATTTTTATAAGAAATATAAATCAGAATGCAATGACAATGACAATGACAATGACGATCTTTATTCCTCTCGCAGGGAGAAATTTGTCTTGGTCGTTAATGATGGCAGCGGACGTTACAAAAGTTATCCCTTAGCTTACATTAGTTCGTGTAAAATATTCTTATGAAATTAACTGAGTGAAAAACCAACTAAGTCATTCACAAACTGTTGTCTTATAATAGCAGCTCAAGCTAAGGTAGTTGGTGGTTGACGGGGGCTCTGGTGTGGTTTCCTCCTTCTTTCCTATCAAAAATCTGTCATTCTTATCTCTTCCTACTTTGTGTTTGTTACTCTCTTGTAACACCTCTAATCTTTGGCACTTATACGACTCATTGTGTTCCAAGAGCCATAAAACTCTTAATAAAACAAGTTAGAGCTAGGCATGTTTGTCATTTTAAAAAGTGAAAAACAAGCTATGTCGTTGTCCGTTTATTCTGTCTTAACTCATTTTTACGTGGCCGATTCTGTTGTAATTGTTGATAGCATACGCCTCCATCAACATAATAGATCATAAGAAGCCGAGCTGCTTCGGCTCTGCCTTTCAGGACCAACCCTGGCTGAGGGGGATACAACGTCCCAGCAGAATAACGGAGATGCTAGTGCTTGTTAGAAATGTTCCCTACACTAGAATCGAACATACGTCTAAAGCGCCAAACTGCTTTGTTTGTTTGTTTGAGCAAAGAGAAGCTCATCGACATAATTATGGCCTTTTAGTGATGGGAAAAAGTAAGACAGACAGAAACAACCCCCCCCCCCCCCCC